CGGCTCACACGGAGGAGCCCGTCCAAGTACGTCGTGGTCATCGACACCTTGATGAACGCAAAAAAAACGACAGCAGTATCACAAACCACCATGCAAAACGGCGGCGGCACGAAAGGATTGTCACTACCAAGAAACAGCCATCGGGAACTCGATACTCTTTCTGTGTCCAGAATAAGCACCTTGTGCAAAATATGCGACGCGCCGAAACCAAGCATGCCAAAGGGTCTGTACACGCTTCGATCGTACATAATTAATTTTTCGACATGACACATGGAACGGTGCAGACGCGAGATGCAAGAGCGGCCTGGCGGCTAGGTAGGTGCATGTAGGTTCGGGCGCGGGAGCATCCGAGCGGCGGAATTAGCACACTCGGCACGACATAGCATACAGTTTGTCGGCTCACAGGCAATAAGCATCAACGAGCCTTTCATGTCGTGAAACGGATTTGTGTGTGTCGTGAGACGAAGCACGTATCTAGGACCGTTTCGACAAGGAGCTCAAGTCCAAGCAAAAAAGTCGAGGGAGCAAGCGCAGCATGGCCACCACAAAAAAACAACCACACACCACCATCGGTCCGAACACTATCGTATGCTTGTACATACCTCGGTGGAGCCCTCCTTGAGTGGGGTGAGCAAGTTATCCGTCTGGAATTCTATGTCGTCCAGGTTGAACAGCGGCTTCAGCAACCGCCCGAGCGCGCTTTTTCGCACCTGAAACCGCCCACCACGAAAAGAAACAAAGGTTCGAACTGGGTCGATGATCGTCCAAAACGCGAAAATGGCAAGGGCAGCCTTGGGGCGGCAACAACGACAGCAGCTTCAACAACAACGAATCAGCGACAGCGACAGCACTNCTGAAACCGCCCACCACGAAAAGAAACAAAGGTTCGAACTGGGTCGATGATCGTCCAAAACGCGAAAATGGCAAGGGCAGCCTTGGGGCGGCAACAACGACAGCAGCTTCAACAACAACGAATCAGCGACAGCGACAGCACTATCTGCAGCAGCTGTCGTTGTATTGACAGAAGAATATGCCGCGATATAGCGACCTGACCTACAGCGCAGCACCAGCAGCAAACAACTCACTCGACAGGTACAGCGACTGCAACACGAGACCTGGCTCTCAGCCAGCCAACTGACGAACCTGAGTCTTGGCTACCCTGAGCTTCGTCTCCGTGCCCGCAGCGTCCGTGATCTCCGACGTCGTGGTCATCACGCTGCGGAACGATGGGAACGTGTTCGGGCCCTCTTTCCCTCTCTTGTCCGAACCCGCGCTTGCCCCCGCAAAAATCTATGCCGTCATTAACGCAACAAAAACAACACAGACACGCGCGATGTGCTTGTTGTGGTCTTGAAACAAGTGTTATGACCTCCCACACAATGCATACTTACACACCACCCCCGTGATCTAAACAAAAAAGAAAGGCACATCCGTGGTCGTGTCATCTTTTGTTGAGAAGATTAAGATTTTCCCCCATTCGTCGTCGCTGCGTGGATCGACTGCTGCTACACGACGAAACACCCGAACCGGCACCATAACCGACCAGAGTTCCATCAAAGACCTCATGAAGGGATCTCCAGCGCGATCTCTCAAATTCTGGATCGCTCGCGCCACCACCGGGCGATTGACCCCTCCAGGAAGCACCTTTAACTGCAAATGCTACCACCCTGCTCCTGTTTACAGCTGTACAGCTCCGCCTTTTGTCGAGCAGACATGCGAGCACTGATGTCCTCGGCATCCCGGCGCACACACTATTTGAAGGCAACACTATTTGAAGGCAGAGTTGGTTGTTTGCTCACCTCTACCTCCGACTTGATCTCTTTCTCCGTGATGGTCTGGACCGCCTCGCCCACGCTCTTGCCCGGCAGGCTGTCAGTGATGGCGAAGATCGTGGCCGCGACCGTGGAGCCGTCGAAGCCGTCCCCGTCGCCGCCCCCTCCGAAGGGAGGCTTGATCCCCTCAGTCGCTTTCCTGGGATACGGTATGTGCTTTTTCGTTGAGCGATTGGGCAGTTAGTTTCTGAAACTGGTCGGAAACGGTGGTTAACATTGAAATTTTTCCGATTTGGAATGAAAAGGAAAATTATACCCCACATCCCATCTCCCAAGACGCTTTTCATGGTGCAGTTGACTATTTTTCGCTGCCTATGGTGTACCAGGACCAAATTGATTGCGTATCTTGGTTGCTGCATCTCATCACCGGTTGGCCTTATCGGGGATCCCTCTACACGACGTGTTGGGTGTATTTCGCATTTCGGTGTTTGTTGTTTTCTTGTGTTTCGCAATGCATGATATACTGCACGACCCCAAGAAGCGTAGAATACAAGTAGAGCTCCAAAGAAAGTGGATATGACCAAAGTACTCAACAAACAGAGGGATGAGGACTGCGACATCACTCGCGTCGAAAACACCCAAAACGCATCGCACACGGTACGCACAACAGTAAACAGAACACGGGAGCTACCTGAACGCCCAAAAGAAAGGACTTGATCGAGTGGCGTCCTCGCTGGCGTACACTAGAGCCCATCTCCCCAGCAACGCCGTGCTCGTGGCCGTGTCCTCAACTGGCGTCCGCATCTCTAGCTCCCAGATGACGTCCTCCACGCGGCCTCGTTCTGCCGGCGTGGCCAACTGACCCCTGTTTTTACAGAGCATGCGTTCAAGCGCGCGTTTTGGTGAGCTTACCTTTGTGGTGGCGCGCAACGTGGGCGGGGCGGGTGGGTGGTGATGGTGGTGGCGGAGGCTTGGCCACCAAAAACAGGGCGGAAGAGCGCGAAAAGCACAACAAACGCGAACTCGTGTAAACCCCGTTCCGACGGCGACGCCAAGGAGTCTCGACGAGGGTGCCCGCACCCCCGGCTCTCCACGCTCGTCGTCAACCGCCCCTCTCGCTAAGCCGGTGCGTGCACAGCACGCACACCACCGCGGCCTCTACAGCACCACAAGGGCATTGCGAGGCTACGCCTTCGCGATTGGTCAACGCCGGTGGTGCACGACACGTTGTCAAAACGTGCAGGAACACAGCACGCACCAGCAGCAGTAGCCAGCAGGCGATATTTTTAGATGAATACTAATTAACCCAGGCATTTCCGGCACGCACAGCCGCGTACAACTCTACACAGGCTCCTAGCATGAAGTTGTTTTTAAGCCAGGGAGTGTGTAGCCCCGAAGGATCGGGCGGCGGAGGAACACAAACATGGTACACCCCAGAAAAATAAACTAATCAACACCGGGCCGCACACACACATTATTAACCAGGGCCCTTGTTGGGGCCCTCCATACTCTCCCTTCCCCCCCTTTTGCTCCGATACGTTTGCCTATTCCCCCGCAGCACCTCCACTACCTGCCGGTGAGAGCAGCGATGCGCAGGAGGTCGAGCTTGAGCTGGGCGACCTCCGGCGTGTCCTTCTCGGTGAAGGATAATCTTTCTTGTTCGGCCGTTCCGGCTTCGAAGGGAACAGAAAAGGTTCGGCAATAGGTGCAGAGCGGCGGAAGAATCTCAACCATCGGACAGAATCGTAAGATTTGGGCAAACGCCAATTGGCCAAAGACCGAGCAACCGAGGGGGCCAAGCGGGCCACAGCGATGGTAGCGCTGGCATTGGACAGGCAGTGTGTGATCAGGAATGACGCCAACCATCGCGAATGTTCGTGAACTTGTTGTTCATTTAGAAAGTATACATAACCTCACAGAAAGACTACCCGCTCCAGGTATTACCACAGTCGAAAGGGATGTGCTGAAGTCTTTTCAGAGCGTGAGGGAAACCGGCTGTAAAGTGGGGATATTTTGAATTTGTTCGAGCCAACACAAGTGAACTGAAATGTTTGCTGATCTTCCCCCCGACAAAAAAGTGTACAATGCGGGTCAACACGTTTCCCGATTGCCGCCACGCCGCGGTGCTTTGTCGTGAGAAGGTGACGAGAGGTGTTCGGGTTTCATGTTAGACTACATCGTGGGAATAGCTATGGTGTTCCATGGATGACGCGGTAATTGATGTGTCCGTGTCCGCACAAGGCGAATCGTCGGGGTTTGCCGCCCGCCATTTGGGCAGGTCTGCCCCCCTGCGTTGCGTGCCCGCAAAGCAGTACTTGGTGCAAGTCGCGGGCATGGCTAGGGTTTCTACTGAGATCGCGTGGGACTACTTAAGTACGTCCACACATACGAATCGCTGTTCTCGCTGTTCTGTATGCCAGCACACGACGGCCCGGGTGTGTTCTAGATATCTTCCACACCAGTATTAATAGTACAATGGCGGTGCAAAGCGGCATCATGTTTTCCACCTCGCCGAGAACGGCGGTGCGTTCATGTTTCCCACAGCATGACTTCTTGCATTCGTCCAACCCACACACGTTTGGCAAGTTTGCCTACAATCCTGCGGCGGGGGGCGCTTGGTAAGCAGTCATGTGAGCACTAGTATTGTGTGATGAGACACAGAGGGAGTGGAGGGAGGGCGTGTCGGATGCTGCCGTGAGAAGTCTGCAGACGGAGCACTCAGGAGTCTACCGAGTCCAGCTGTCACACATGGAGTTCAAACTGCCGTGGCTTACCCCCCCCAGCGAATCTGTCATCTCCCGTGTCTGAAGGGTAGTCCTCCGCCACTTCTGACATCAATAACGCCCCACATTCCTCCGCCCTTGCCGTTCGGCACCACCCGCTGCTGCTGTGCCTGAAACTCTTCGTTGAAGCGGTTGCTGCTGATGGCGGTGTTCGCTCCCCCGCTCGCAAAGAGCAATTGATGAACGCCTGGCACTCGGAAGGCGCAGCAGCGAGCCACACGAATGCTGCGAGTGCGCTAAAACGGCGAGAGACTCCCATCTTTCCAAACTGTAAAGTGTATTCGCTCTTGCAGAGACCACACAGGCAGGAGACGTGGACTGCTGTATGCTGGCTAGCTGGCCGCCTTGGAGGCAGCGCAGAGTCAAGTGGCAGGGTTATTGAATCTGCGTCGCCCCTTTCGTCCCCGGGGTTTCCAGGTAACTTGTTCTGCCCTTGAAGTTCACGGCTGCCCGAGTCACTTCCGCCGGCTCTGCTCTTGTGTCTCAACACAGCGCGCACGGCGAAGGACGTAGCGAGGGGGCAACGAGATCGCCGCTTGTGCCCACGTCGTGGACATGCATCTCGAGCAAGACACGGGCAATAAACTGGGAATCTTGCTTGGAGTTTTAGATATGGCACCTCACGACATGGCCCCCTCCTGCGGCGGCGGCGGCGGCCAGGGCAGCAGCGGCGGCAGCGGCGGCGGCAGCCCCATGTCTCTGGACCACTCGCTCCGGGGCGTGCCGGATCCCCACCCGACGAAAGCGGCCGTCGGGGATCTGGCGGTGGTTTGTCCCGTCGCCGCCGCAGATGAAAAGGCGAGCGAGACGACGATGACGGCGGGCGAGAGGCGGCGCTCTCGGGCCCTCAAGCTGAGGCAAACGAGATCTCGCAATGCCGTGAGGATCCAGCAGCAGGTGTACACCAGCGCGGAGGACTCGGAAGATGAAGTGAGACCATGTCATCGATAAAAAGAAGAGCCAGGGAGAGATGCACACATTTACGCGGGGCGTGGCGTGGCGTGGCTCGTGCCCGCGGCCTTTGGAGCCTTTTTTTTGGCATTTTTTTTGGGTGACGCAGCAGCACCGGCCATCACGAGCTCGGAGAGCTCTTCCCGTGCAGGCTGTTCCTTGGAGGATTGCTGATCGCAGTGACAACAGGCGTACCTATTCCATACTATTCACATCACATTGCCACGCGCTCGTGCTTGTATAGATAGAAGGAGCACGTCTGCATAAACGAGCTGCTCACGACTGCCTGCCAAATCCGACGCGCGGGTATTCTTTTTTGTTTCCGTCTTTCTTTGTTGGTGGTGTCTCAAGGAGGAGGAAGAGGGGGACGTGAAGCCAGACATTGCCATGCTGCAAGCAGAGGCCCTTCTGGCGCCGGGCGTGGACAAGCAGGCGTGGAAGAAGCAGCAGCGGATGATCCGAAACAGGGAGTCGGCGGCGCTCTCGCGCAAGAGAAAGCGAGATAAGATCGAGTCGTTAGAAGACCAGGTGAGGAATCTTAATCTTTCTTCTGTGGACGATGTACTGGTTCTTGGAGAAGGTAGATCGGAAAATTCAGTCTTTGTGATGCCCCGACCTACAAGGAAGTACGTCACACACAGCAGCAGCGGTTACAGCAGTGGTTTTCCACACGCGCGCTAACACATTCACGAACGCGCAACATTATATGGCTGTACATGGGAAGTGCCAGTCGCCCTCGGCCTATCAAGGTACCAGGTTGCTGGTAGAGTTCTCGGCAGCAAGAGTGCCGTGTACGCCCCTTTACCGTATTTGGAAAGTGCTTCTACTGCGGTATATCCGCCAGCAGGTGTCCCTCCTGGGCACCCTGCTAGTACTTGGACCTTCCTCCGGGGTGACCCTGACTGACATGTCAACTATTGTAGTATGCACGTACACTGAGGGGTATTGGCCGGCGCTGGCACCTGTAGTTGTACATAGAATGACTGCCGTCATCATATATGGAACGGGTACACCTAATTTTTTTTTCGTCTGGATGTGTTTCTTAAATATTGGGATAAAGAAAACACGCCAAATACATAAAAACTTGAGACGCAAAAAAATCTTAAGGGTCTAAGTCCGTTCATAGACGCATCCCGGATCGTCGTGCGCACCTGTCACAAATTCTGGTTTCGGGTTTCGGTTCTATCGCTGAATAATAGAGGTACAATTCACAAGCGCTCTTGGTACTTTTGAACCTTGGAGAGATTAGCAGTAGAAAAACAGCTCCCCCATTGGTTTGCCCTCTGCCCCTTCCTCGTTTTTTATTTTTTTTCTCCCATCATTGGACTCTGTTGTCTGCCCCTCTGGCCCCTATCCTCCACCTGTACCAGCTAGACGACCCAACCGGGGTCACATAGGAGGGGGGGGTTTGGACCTCCTCCTGCGGTTCCTGTCTGAGATATTTTTATCGCGAGAAAGGTACAGCAATCCCTTCCCTCGCGACTTTCGAAGTCGATTATGGTTTACTAACAACGAGCTTTGCAGCGCATCGCTTCCAACGGAGACCAGGATTTATTCAGCGAGAAAAAACTCACTCTGTCGGGACTCGAACCCATGACCTGGCCCTTAGCAGGCTACGCGGCTACCCACTAAACCACCGGGGCGACCGAGTATGCATTCTCCAGTCCCCGACCAACCCACGACACCAACCCCAACAACAGATGCTGAATCAACTCGTGCGCCCCTTCCCTCTCCTTCTCGTTTACTGCTGCCGCGATTACATTATTTTGCGTGCGTTCCTCAACTCGTGCGAAAATCCAGGTTGCCAGGCTCGCAGAAGAAAACCGGGGGCTCAGACACCGTCTCGCCAAGTACGAGGCCTCTCCCCAGCAGGCGAGGTACAAGTACGCCAGGCAGACGTCGACGACACCGCGCTCTGGAGCGCCGAGGGCGACACCGTCGGGTGGAGGGAGGAACGGCAGCAGTGGCAACAACGAGGGTCCGGCGGCGGGACCGGCAGCGGGGAGAAGTCGAGAGTCTGGGGGGGCAGCGGCGGCGGCGTTCGGGGGGCGCGGCAGCAACGGCGGCGTTAGCAGGATCATCGGTGGTGGCGTCAACTGTGGCAAACCAGTGAGCTGCTTAAACTCTCGCGAGTCAGCAGCATTCGCCGATCGCGTTTTGCAGTTCTGAGGTGTCTTATTTTTTTCTGTTCCAACTCCACCCCCCACTAATTTCGATACTGTATACCTGTTAAAGTTCACCCTCTTCTTGTCTTGGCTGCGTCTTGCTGTCTCCCTTGATTGGGAGGGGGTCAGATGCGGTTGGAGGAAGGGGGCAGGAGTTTTGAAAACGGGGGGTGTGAAAGAGAGCTGAAAAATGAGAGGACACCTTTAGCAAGACGCGATCATATAAGGCATCGTTGGCCGATTCCCTTCGTGGACGGTCTTTCGTACGCCAAACAAACTTTTAACGAAGTCTCCCTGCTGTGGAGACAGCAGCTCACGGCCCCACGGCCGCCACAAGCACCACCACCAACGCCACCGGCAATGACGGCGCGGGGCTCCGCCGGAGCCTGCGCAGCACCGCCGGCCGCCGCAGCGCGTCATCTTCATCACCGCGCCCCGTCCGAACCTCGGCGACGACCTCTAGGCCGATCGCCACCACCGCCGCCGCCATCGCGGGGGCGGTGCCTGCCCCCAACCCCGGGGAACCCCTGGCTTCGTCGTCCGCCAATCAGCTGAAGCCCACCAAGAAGGATCATCTCCCCGCCGCCGCTGCACCTGCTTCGCCCCCTGCTGCGTCCCCTTCGCCTGCTGGCTCCGAGCTTCCCCTGAAGCAGCTGCCTAACGTCGTGAAGATGGAGGTGACGTCGGACTGCGATGAGGGGCGAGACGGGGTTGCCGTCCCCACGCCAGCCGCTGCTTTTGTCGGGGACAGCGGGCACTCTTCCTCGTTTTCTCTAGGCGACAGAACATCCTTTGCCGGCGGTGGCCCTCACCAGCAGTACGCCGTCGAGTTCGACATTGACGACGACGCCGCTTGCGACAGCTTTCTCATGGACATCCTCTCCGGCGGCGACGGGCCGCAGGGCGACGGCAACGACGACGACGGGTTCTTGTCGCTCCTCTCGGACGACGACATGATGATCGTTAATCCAGCTTCCGAAGGCCTCAACGTAGGCTTCGTCAAGCGGGAAAACAGTAGTATTAGCAATTGTGTGATGTGAGAGTTTCCTGTTTCAATCGTCTGTGTTGTTTTTGTTTTTCTCGTATGGTACATCGTAGCTTTCCTCATAGAAAGATTTGTCTGGTTTCGGCTTGTTTTTTTTTTCAAGTCATGTTGTGGTTGATCTGTGCGCCTCCGCGTGTCAAGGACGTGTTGACCGTAGAAAGCATGTAAACTAAACAAGTATTTTGTTGAGGAGTTCTTCGAATCGGTTTGTCGCGTTGCCAGGTTGTAGGTTGTCCCAAAATCGCGTGCATGGAGATTTTGCCTTCAGCGGTTGTGGTCCTGTGCGTGTCTAGACGATTCGATGAGTCGTGGTGCATTCGTGCTCGCGTTGTCCTTCACCTCACTGCTATGTTTTTGCACACCGTGAAGACGAGACACCGCGGCTGGGCGGATAGGTACGAGCGATTGTCGCTGTTCCGTAGGAGGTGGTTGCGGTCGCAGAGTCTTGTGGGAGTTGCGGTTTCGAGATGGCATAGGTACATTTGTCGGAAGGGTAACAGCGGTAGCGGTTGTGTAGGCATCGAGCAGGAGAACACTGTGGCGGTTGGTTGTTGAAAGCGACATAGAGTGATAAAACTTGTGACGAATAAGTAATGTTTATTACATGTTGACCGAAGAGGGAAAAATATTGTGTCATTTTTAAGAAGATATAACGGAGCATATATATTGCCTGGTTCACGTCGAGGCCTTGACACCGCGCATGCAAGCAAGCGGCGTGCGCTCTGAGAGCGATTCATCGCGCTTGGATGCCTGAACTTCGCACATTCGGTGACGTTCTTTGTCGTGGATTTAGCCCTGTTGGCGAGGAAGCACTGCGCTTCTCGTGCTTCCACAACCGAACACACTGCCAGGTGCTGCCTAAAGTAGCTGACAGGTAGAGATGCTTCTTCTATCTCGACTTGAGACAATCAAGGTGACCGACGACAAAGTGAACACTTTAGTGTAATTGTTTTTCAGGCGTGACAGCTAAATGTTTTGCAATTCCGACCATTACGCCACCAATTACCTGAGGGGCATGTGATGCAACTGGCGCACGAGACGACGAGCGGGTGTGCTGCAGTATTAAGAATAACTGTCAATGGACGACCGAGATTGATCGACCAGAGGTGAAACCTTGGTCACTATCATGACAACAAGACAAAAAATGTCCTGCAGGAGGTGTTTTGACCGAAAGACCCCATAAATGAACTTTCCAAAACATTTTTCTTTTTCCTTGTGCCTTGTGTTCCGTCGCAATTAGTCGATTCGTCGAAACTAACTTACACGAACAATGCGTGTAAGACTACTCTGATCTGCAGGAACGACTAACAGGTTATAATGTTAAATCTTGATAGTAGATGTCAGTTGACCAGGGGGCACGCCGGCACGACGCTACTCCATGAGCGCACATGTGGATGAATGTACGGGGCCCCTGGCAAGTACTGACTTTTTGTACGCAGGCCCACTGCAATACAAGTCAACCGTCGGCTCTGGCTGTGTTGATGCGGCAGTGGTGCCGCAGCCGTCTGGACTGGGGATATTTGGGAGGCATGGCACGGTTCGCCCACGCGCTTGCTTTGGCGTGCTTTCTTCGTCAGTGTGGGGGTGAGTTCGAATAGTCTCAGGAGAGTACAGGAACAGCAGGTGAACACGCAGCAGCATGCGGAGATAGCACAGCAGCACAAATTGCACCGCCAGTACGCGTCGTGCTCACTCTCTCTCATACGAGCATAGACTGCTGTTCCATGAAGCCTGTAGTAAGGGTCGGCGTATCTCTGCAAAGGCACTGGATGCTATCGCCGCCGTTGCAGTACAACATGTGAGTCAGATCATGACAAGACGCAGTACAGGGATGATCAAACATGACACGACAGGACATCACAGCAGCGTGTGTTAAGCGTTTGGTTGCGCCCCTTCCCGATCTCGTCGACAACATCCGGCTCCCAGTCTCGAGTGTCTGTCTGTCTTACTCAAAGCCTTGATGATCGTTGTTCCTCCGCACGAAAGCAGGAACACATGTACGCAGGAAACGTACAGCAGTACCCAGAGGCAAGAATGTCGTCTACCATGTACGCCGTCGGGGCTTCATCATTTGCGCTTCCCCGTCACACACCCCCAAGCGGGCGGCAAGTAGTCCTCCCCTCATCATGCGTTTCATGTGTCGACCAAACCCCTAATGTATATCGTCCTCTGCGCAGCTTTCAATCCTGTGGGGGCACCCCCAAGCCCTGCCTTCTCCTCTTCTTTCCGACAGCCGTCGAGTTTGGCGACGTGTTGCGGTCGCGTCGCGTCCGCCACATCCCCGAGTCGGTTTGTCCCTTCGGGAAGCCTTGCTTGCCCCACCCCGCCGCAGGCGGCGCGTCTTCACAGCAGTAACAACCCCGGCGATGCGTGTCGACCAGAAGGCCACCGGAATCGACGGCAACGGTGTCAGCGCGATGGCACGGAGTGGCGTTTGCGTCGAAGACCTTGGTCGACATCGTTGTCCGCGGTTAGGGAGGGAACAAGTAGCAGCAGTGGTGCCCCATCATCGGGGCAAGACCAATTAGAAGGAGAGGAGGCTGGGTGGGGGTTACCAGCATCTGGAGAATCGGAACCAGGCGGCTCCCGGGAAACCAAAAACAGGGGAAGGGGAAAAGAGGGTGGCAAGTCGGTGCTCGAGAAGGCGGGGAACGCGTTGAAGGCCGCCTTCAACGCCTTCATGGCGGCGAGCACGCTCGCGTCCCTCGCGCTGGCGGCGGAGGCCGTCTGGCAGCTGCACGGCGCGCCGCTCACGCTGTCGAACGCCGTCCCGACGCTGACAAAGCTTCTCCCCCTCACCGGCATAGGCGTGTTCGGGGCGGCGCAGCTCGTGGGCCTGGTGGCGAGGGTCGTGAGGGTCATCGTGACGCTGCCAGTCATGGTCAGCGGCACGTGGGTTATCCTGCAGAATGCTCCAAAGGTATGCATGTCGGGGGGCTGGTTCTGTTCTTCTTGCAGAGCGCGGGGGCGGTGCTACACTTTGCCCACACACGCTTTTTAATACGCTTTTGCAAAGTGGGCCTGCAGTCGAGAAGCGTCTTTTCGGCGACGCTCCGAGGCTGCCGCCACCAGCGATCATTGCTTTGTGGGTATGGATAGCACGCCCATTTCTTTCGATGCTGCCTTCGATTGCAACTACCATTGAGGGACCCCGTACATCACCCTTCCCCCCAGAAACCAATCGCGTGGTCGAGCATCGCCACACGTTTGGGTATCTGATACCCAACATGTCCCCCACCCATGGCGTATCTGGTTTGGCACAGCAAGCGCGAGCAAGATTACCAGCTTCCGGTTCATTCTTGAACCTTAGCCTGGGCCAGCGAAAACCCGGCATGCCCCTCCTCCGTCCCGGCATGGCAGGGATGCGAGGTCTAATGCTTTACCGACCGTGGCTTGCGTTTACATTAGTACCCCCCCCGCCAGTCTTG